TGCAGACTCCGTTGACGCAGATGTCGCGCTGATTCTCGCCACATCTGGTGCCGTCCGCCACCTTGGCTCGGTGCCGGAAATAGAACCGTTCCCCTTGCGGCTGACAGTTGAGCTCGCACGGATTCGCAGCCTTGGTGTACGGCACCCACCTGTCGCAACCGGTCAGCTGTCAGCCCTCATGTGTGACAGAAATCGAGTTAATTTGTTACCGGTACAGTCAAATATCTGTCGGTGTGGCTTTAATAACGCTATGGTGTAGATGGTGAGTTATGATAATCAGGCACCATACCTACGTTGGATAAGTCTTCGTGGACCTTTTGATGTTAGTGACAGGAATCAGCGGCAGTGTGACTTGTGGTTGAATTTAGACGGGATGGACTCTTACTGATATAATTATTATCGGGCATCAGTTTCAACCTTTCTGCATGAATTTCTTTAGTTAATGTTTCACCATCCGATGACATCACGCTATTTAATTTTGGACTTATATTGGCCCTTTGATACTTTACTTATAGTATTTTCCTTCGAAGAGCACATCGTCGAATTCTGAACACTGTTCTGCCCTGAAGTCCTTCGTTCCAGCTGGGCACGCCTGCAACCGGTGACACAAATTCATATGTTAAATACTCCTGTGTACAGTCCTACAGAATAGCAAACATAGCATTGATTAGCCGATACAGACCGTCAATCTCGGCTGTCTGCGGGCTGCCTCACCTGAACGTTACAGGACTGGTACTTGACATCGGGTCCGGAGCACTCGGATGATCCGTCCGGCCTGAAATCGAAGCGTAGGTCGGTCGATTTAACAAAAACAAAATAGGAAAATATCGCATCTCTTGATACCAAGAATCTAAAAAATGACAATAAGCCATATATGACCGGTTGAATCAATAACAAAAGGCATAGACTAATGTATTACGATATGAAGTAGTCTATGCGAAAGGCATTTAATCGGCAGATCATTATACATGTCAATAAGCGGAACATTTTCTTCTGTCACTTTCTAGTTAGGGGAAATTTGTACACTAAGACTCACTGTCATCTCCAATCCTGACCGCTCCTCCCAGTCGATGTCACTGACCTGAACCGCTGACACGTTCTGACCTGCCGGCTGACCCCGCCGCCACAGGAGCGCGAGCAGGGCCCATCGGGCTCCCAACTGCCCCAGGGGCCGGCGCCTCGCGACGCGTCTGCCTCGCCAAAGGCCACGGGCCGCTGACGGCGCGGTCTCCGCAGTCGGCGCAGGCCCCACCGCCGCTACAGTCGACACGAACATAGTTGGCCGATGTAACATAGCGAATGTGACAGAGACAGCTAGTGTACATGCGGAGTGATATTGACAGAATGGAGGAATCCAGTGTTGTTCTACAGCGGATCACCGAGTTCTTAGCTTTATAACAGAATTGTAATGTCTTGGACTTTATCTGCTTCCACCTGTTCAGTTGGTGCACTTTTCGATCTATGTGGCGTTATCAATCGCATCTAAATTCCAAGTGATCGTAATGTTTGTTATGCCTTCATCGATGTTATTGCGCTATGCAAAGAAAATATGTGTAATTCGGAAAGTGTAATAAACACAACTTACCGGTTTGAAAGCAAAAGAAGCACTTGTGCTCAGCTGAAGCTCCAGCACCAGGATCAGAAGCACGAGAAGAGACCTAGCGGATGAAGGGTCAAACGAGCCGGTTACGGTTTGATATATTTTCATACAGTTGTCGGACAATTGCATTAGACGATATAGCTGTATGTACTTATCAAGGGCATCGCTTGCTGTGGATCTTTCGTGTTCCCGCCTGATTTGACATAAAGCTGAATTATACCTATGGTCTCCAGAGGGGAGCAGCGGTCAAAATAGACATTTTTAGGAATGCTTTATGCACCAACTTGTAACACAATGATAATTGCTTGTTTACCTTTATGCGAACATCGATTTGCTGCTGCCTGCTACACATATGTATACCTATACCATATAATATGTAAGTACCATTGTTCCTTCGTTAGGCCATCGAGCCAGTTGATAAGCCAAAGCTCCCGATCTCCCAGACCGTCCCATCCGTCTAGCCCCACTGTCTAGGATAGCCGGGTCAATCTGCACCATGCATGATCCACTGGTAGCCCAGCCGGAAAGGTGCCTGGCCGACTGCCGGACACTGGCGCAGCAGTGCTGGACACTTCCGGTCTGCGCCGCGTCACTTCCGCCAGAGCCCCGCAAGGATCGTTGTGATAGCGCTTACCATAGCTTTGGACACTTGGCCATGGTGTTGAACATGTGCAATATGTAGCTTTTCTCCTAACCTTGCATTTCAAACAGTTTTTTTGGTTTTATTTGCAATGTATGACATCAAATAAATCATTTCTATGAGGGCATGTGAAAATAATGATTACCTATTCGAAAGTTTACGACCATTCATTCATCTATCCATCCATCTATCCAACCATCCATCCATCCATCCATCCATCCATCCATCTATCCAACCATCCATCCATCTATCCATCCATCCATCCATCCATCCATCCATCCATCCATCCATCCATCCATCCATCCATCCATCCATCCATCCATCCATCCATCCATCCATCCATTCATTCATTCATTCATTCATTCATTGATTCATTCATTCATTCATTCATTCATTCATTCATTCATTCATTCATTCATTGATTCATTCATTCATTCATTCATTCATTCATTCATTCATTCATTCATTCATTCATTCATTCATTCATATACCAGGTCAGGCCACAAAGGTCAGGTGGCAAAAGGTCACATTTGCTACCTCTGCTACCAAACGATACTGGTCTATGATTATATTGGTAGATGTTGAGTATCCATGACAGGTTGGATGATGATGTAAAAAATATATTGTAAATAATAATTAATATATTGGTAGAGTTCATTACGAATTTTGCGTTTAAAATTAATTTGTTGGAGCCATTTGAACATAAAGGGACGGTTTATATCAAGTTGTCGTTAGGTCGGGCCTGGGTCAAGTCAAAAAAAGTCAAATTTTAGCTTTTGTAGTGTAGAACAGGTATTTATCCAACGCAACTCGTCATAAGGAATCCAGTGGTGGAGTTAATTTCATTCGGAAAGCTGTAATAGAAATATCATTTTGGTGGCATTATTCGTTGTTACATTAGCAGATATCGGAAAGAGAAGACCAAGAGCGTCTCGCCGTCGTCATGCCTAAAGGGGGCGCGAACAAGTGTAGAAGTAGAATAACACACGAAGTACATAGAAACCACAGAACTGACCTGGCGGGTCCACTGCAAAGCTCCATCTCGTCGTGATCAGCACCACCTCACATGCACCCTTCAGCAGGTCACCAGTTCAACCACTCAGCACCTCCATGGCAGCCCAGCGGTCTGCGACACTGTCTGTCTCTCCGTGGTGCTGCCGTCACTGCTCGCAGCATATCCGGACCAGGACCGGCGCCCGACAGCTTCCTTCCGGTAGGCCGGCCGCCATCTGACCTCCAGGGAGGGCCGCTGGACAGGTCAGTGACCATCGAGAAGCAAGAAACGCACTCTTATTTTTTTCGGTTGACGTGCGACCTTAAAATTAAGTGTTAATGATTTCTCTCGTAGAGCAGGTATGCTCATTTTTCCCTCAAAGCTCTTAGCCCATTTTGGCCATATACAAGAGGTCTAACAAACATGCCAGCCTCCCATCCCCGCCTGTGCCTCTGAAATGGATGAATGATTTGATTTGCCGGTGCCGTCGAAGGCTTAATTGATCTACGGTTGCAGTTTTATTGCAGCTTTAGCAGATATTTCTTTTGAGTTGTTGCAGTAAAGTAAGCTTACAATTGCATGTTGCATATGGGATATGTTTGTAATGTGCATTCTGGCGTTTATTACGTGGCCGGCTTGCTTTGATATCACATGCTATGTGAGCAAGTCATTTTCGTGTAGGTACTTACATGCTCATGCATGGGTATTTGAGATCAATTTAAATTCAACTAACACAACCAGTCGTAAAAGAAACGACACAGCAGAACAATGGCATGACTCGGCGTGATTCGAGTTGATGGATGGTCTGATTTGAATGCAGCACCTCCTATCTGAACAATAGATCATATATTTCCACCTATCGTAGACTGAGGGCTAAGCTCAGAGGTGCAGGTTCACGAGCCGGGCACTGCATCATGAAGTGCGGCGCTTGAGATGGCCGGCCACGTGGAGTTCAAAGGTTACCTACAGGGATCGCGTGTCATGAGCGGCATGTCACGAACCGGTTGGCTCGGTGCCAACGCCCGCGGCAATACGAAGCGACACGGTCTGCGTCTGCTCGGGAGAAAGGGACGGCGTAATCTACGGTATATGAGTATCTCATTATTGACTATTTATTTTTTCGGTGTATTGAAGGAACTCATCGGTGTCAAGCACACATTGAATCGTCGATTTTAATTTAAAACAATATTTTCTCGTCAAAATGTTTTATACCTTAGAGGCGATTATGTAAATATAACAACAATGTGTACTTCTTCAATTTAATCACAACAAATGTTATTCAAACAACACTTTATGGTCGTGATTTCATGCCATACCTACTTACATTTAGGGTGCCTTCGATGATTGATTTTAATTGTTCCAGATGTTCCGGCCATTTCTTTTCAGCCTTCTTAGCGACTTTTCAATGCATTGCAGGTATTGAGTTCCTTTACAGTCGTACAGACGTACGATCACAGGTCATAAAAGTTGCAAATGATAAATCATATTTGCCTCAATTCCACCTCACTCATTCTAAATTGCGACAGGTAGTCAGCCTACTCATCATAAACCAGCTCACGGGTGACGCCACTCATCACAATAACCATGACCACATCAATTACTCCAATCTTGCAGCTCGATTTGCTGCTCTCACTGCAGTGTTGCGGAGTGCTCCAAGCCGCCACAGCTCTCAGCAAGGCGACTGGGCTGCGTCCATGACCGTGGGGTTCTCTGGGGAGGGGCTGCCCCGCCGCCGCCGCCACCGCCGCCGCCGCCGCCGCCCTCTCATTGCAGTTGGCCGGGTTGGCTGCACCGTCCGGCCAGCACGGCGACTGCACGGCCGCAGTACGACAGCGGCCGTGGGGCCGGTCTGGTGCGGCGCGGCGCGGTGGCAGAGCTAGCCGTGCACTGTGCGGGCTGATCGAAGTGGCAGTGCCACTGTGAGTGACTGAACTACCATGTAGCTCGGTGAACGTGGCAAACTCGCTGATCCGGTTTGTAATGAGCAGCTTGATGACTCGATGCTCAGTGCCCACCTCATTTATCATCCGCATTAATGTGAAGCATGGTTTTGATGGGTGACGGTGTTTTGACAAGACGTCAAGATGATTGACAGATGTCTGCAGACCCGTCAACGTTGATGTTAACATTGTGTTGACAGGTGGTCAGAGTCTTTTGATCGTGTTGACGTGCGGCTCGTGACATAAGACAAACATTGTCCATGATGATGAGTGGCTGCCGAAAGGTCGTAACCACTGAGGACATGTGTGTCACTGCTTCTGTGAAGCCCCGTCTGAGGGCGATGCCCTTATCCGCGCTGTCCATGGCACTATTGGTGGTGATGACCGTGGTGACCCCAGGTCAGGTCAGCGGTCTAATCCCGCCCCGGTATGACATGGCTCAGACACGCTGGTGGGAGAAGTCTGCCGTAAGACCAGCGGCGTCTCCACAGCAGACTACCAGCTACCGCGTGTACAATAGCGCCGGGCCCCTGCCGCCCTACTCATTCGGCGTCGGCTCTAAGCCGTCCTGCCGCTCCAACTCCAACTGCGCCAGTTACCGAGCTCCGTCAGCGTTTCCGGGACCCAGCACGGTGGCGGAGTATGCTGATTCGACCAACACAGCCGGTCCCAGGCCTCCGGCGGAGTTCCAGATCAACAGTGTCGGTCCAAAGCCGACCCCGGGCTATCAGCCGGCAGTCAACACGGCCGGGCCCAAACCTCCCCGGGACCCGGCGCACAACAGCGTCGGGCCGAAAATGCCACCGTTCGTCTCAAACAGTGTCGGTCCCAAGCTGCCTCCGGGATACACACAGCCGTCGAGCGGCGGCGGAGGTCAAACGCCGCCCTCCAGCTCTCATGCCACCACCGGTGTCGGCCCAAAGCCCCCGCGAGGCTACACGTTCTCAGCAGGACCAAAGTTGGGCAGGAATCTGTTGTTACCGACCACGCCTGAGCCGAGCTCCGTGGCACGGGCGTCAGTCCGCGGACCGGGCAGCGCGTCGGCCCACGCTCACGCCCAGGCGCACGTTCACGGGCGCGGACAGGACGGGTCGAGGGCACGCGCACACGCCCACGCCCAGGCTGGACACAGGAAAACATGGGAACATTTCGAAAAGGAGGTTAAAGCAGCCGGCAGACTCAAGTCCAGGTGAGTTTTTCTTGTAAATGTGTTTGCGAGGGTTGGCATGCATTGAACGCTATCATGATATCATGAAGCGTGTCGAAAAAAGTAGTACAAAGGGCGTACGTCGCACTTGTAACACGGGTCACGCAACGTTTGTACCGACAAACCTGTGGGCTACCATTGGCTCTCAGGATGTCTTCATGCCAGTTACAACACATTTAGCAGAGCTTGTACTTCATTAAAGTCGAGCGTCCGATAAGACGTATAAGCATCTGTCGAATTCGAGCTAGTGTCTGCTCATGTTTCTATAGTGTAAACTATGTTAACTATCCATGATATATTGGCAATTTTACGTTTGTACAAAAAATGTCGTTTTTACAGTTTGACGTTTACAGTCAGTACGTTTTTACAACAACAATAAAATGCTTAGCAAAACGTTGTAAGGCGCCGTTCCTGCACTATCCCGTTAAAACTTGAAACAGCCTGATGTGACTAACAAATGCCTACAAATTACGAGCAGAATAACACTCAAGAGCATTGGTTAGACCTGACAGGCTAGTCGGCAAGAGTCTTAGTTGAGCCGCTCTGGAACTTCCCAACTCTTGTCGGAAACGCCCTTGTCTCTCCGCTCAGGAAGGTGTCTGAACTGAAAAGTGGAGTCACCAGCCGCCGCCGACACCTGCCTTTGATCTCAGCGCCCGTGGTCATGGCTTGCCTAACGACTCTCTTCATCACCAAGCTTTCAGACGCGTGCTTAGCCGGACTGGGCCGTCGGCCCGCCCCTGGTCTCGCGTGAATCACCCAGACAGTTCTCTGGTCATTCAGCGGTGTGGCCGCTGCCAAATATACAAACGTTCCATGCATAAAGTGGAGGTGCGTAAAAATAGCGTCTGCCTTCGTTGTGAGGCGGCCAGCTCAGGGCAGTTCTCGGGAGCGGCTGGCGGCGGGGGAGATGTGTGGTGTCCGCCCACACCACACGGCTGACCGCTGGCCAACGGCGCGGCGGACGGGACGGGCTGGAGTTGGAGCGGGGAGCGGAGAGGCGCCCCGGAATGAGCCAAAGCGGCGACAGGACCATGCCAGGACATATGTCAGTCTTTTCAGTCTTCTGGCATCTGATAATATGAAATCGTCTTATTTATTCAAGCTGTTTTATTAATTTAAATTAACCCTCGCCCTGGCAGGGCATTTTTCATAACACGGCCTGGCAGGGGGGGGGTCGATGCGACCCCCCCCCCCTCGCGATTGGCTCCTATGGCACCTAGAAACACCAAATTTGGTAGGTAGGTGGGCCCCCTGGAGTTCTCGCCCCTGTGCAAATTCGGTTGCTCTAGGTCAATATTTAGGGGGGTTTTGGGGGGTATAAATGTAAAAATTTCGCTAAAAACAGGTCAAAAGTTTTTCGCTTATAACTTTTGATCTAATTAAGATAGAGCAAAAAGAAAAACACCAGTGAACTCAGCACGTCAAGGCGCGTCGAATGATATACTTTTTAGCTTGCTTAAGTGTACCTAAAGTTTTTCTTAAATTTTAAGTAAACTTAAATTAATAAGTTAAGTTCAAGTTAACCACATTGCATCATATCGCATATCATTCGATTCGGCTGATCACCAGGAACACAATGGTACTATTTTTTAAGCTCTAGCGTCATTATGTGCCAAGTTATTGGCAAAAACGTCATTTGACCTCAGTTGACCTCATTTGACCTGACCCATGGATAAGTACACCAAACAAAGAAGCACCAAGTGACCTGCTGTTAAGTACTGTGGTTTCAAAGCACAAAAGTGCTAGAACGAAGCGGATATCTCCAGTATTTTCCGAATTTAGTATTTTCCCATAGGCTTAGCATTACGACGTAATGACCTCTAACTGACCTCAGGTCAGTGACCTCAAAAAACCCGAACTATATGTTATACAACTCGGTGAACTTAGCACATCCTTAAAGTTTGAAGGAAATCAGTCCAAAACTGTGAGTTGGGCAGGTGCAAAAAGAAAATTGAAATTTGACCATGACCTTTAGGGTTGTTCAAAAAAAGCGAATTTTGGAAAAGTATACGGGCTCATGGCTCGTGTGGTGAGGTATTCTTTTCTGAGTCCAACGATGCCCTTTTTTCCGAAAAATATTAACTGCTTCATGCTCCCCAAACGGCTTGAAGAGGACCATGTCACGCCCGGCGGCCGGCCGGTGTCAGTAAGGGCGAGAATTCGCCGCCGCGCGCCGGCGGAGGCGCCTTATCGGCACCGCGCGCCACGACATCTACCGGGCGGCCGGCCGGCCAGTGGTGGGAGGGAATAAAATGCGTGGTCTTCTTTCACATGATAGGGGTGCGCTAGCCCATATTGTCGGAGCGGAAAGTTTCAGTGCAGCATCGGTACCTCTGCCGCGTTGTTCTGTGTCGATTGTTCAGAAAATAAGCCAAACAGAACTAAGAAAAGACTCAACGCTTCTGGGTAATTCACTCGAAACATTCCGTTTACAGAATACAGCTGCCTCCTTAGCGTAACATATCGCTTTGTTTATTCATCAAGCTGCAAGGATTGACGTTTGTTTTACTTAGATTAGCAGTTCGAAAGAAAAGATAACATGTCTGGGAATGACAGTTGGGCCACCCTTACAGTGTGACGAATTGAGTAGAGACAATAGCGGGAGTACACATATAAATCGTGTCGCTCAATCCAGCAGCGGCACCGGCAGCCCGGCCGTGCCCACCGCGCCGGTGTCGTTCAAGACCCGAATCCAGAGCCGGCATAGAGCGCGTCACACATCCCCCAGGGCAGAGCCGCCCTGACCTGACACACATCCCCGGCGTGTCATGACGAACAGACTTATGCTTGACATGGCCTGTTTGGCGAATGACGATGGCAATGTTTACCTTTCCTATTTCTAATTAATCACGCATTTAACAAATATCTACGCTGTACGCAACAATTGTATCGTGCTAATCGCAACACAACAACCTGGTTTTGTAGTTAGGTAAAACAGACGATTGGAGATGTCTCGTTCGATGTGGCCATTAGAAGCCGCGGAAACAGGGCAGAGCCGTGCTCTCTTTGCCAGGTCTGAATACGAGTCTTCGTCGAAGTAGAACTGGACGCAGATCACTTCTTGCCTCAACATGAGACTTAGAAATAGGTAAGTTAGGTATACTGTATACATTGTATTTATACAGGCGAGGTAATGGTCTGTCCGTCATGACACGCCGGGGATATGTGTCAGGTCAGGGCAGAGCCGTGCTCTCTGCCGGCTCTGGATCGGATCTTGAGCGGCATCGGTGGACATGGCCGGGCTGCTGATGCTGCTGCTGCCCGAAGGGTTGGATTGATGGGCGCTTGACATTATGTGTACTCCAGCTATTGTCTCTACTCACACCCAACTTCGTCACGATGTCAGGGCGGCCACCGCGTCATTCCCGGGCATGTCATCCTTTTTTTAACTGCTACACTGAAAACAAAATGACACAAAAAACGACTAAAAACGCACAGGCAGAGCGTGTTAACTAGGCTTTCTTGTGTACCCTGCATCATGCATTTTTTGACCCGTCGCAGACGTGTCAATTTACAAATGTGTTAACCCAGTCGTGTTGTGTCCAAAACACAATATCATTGTGTCTTCAACACATAAGGCTTGTGTGAATACATTTGCAGAATACAAGGTAGATGTGTTACTAAATTTAACACAAATCGCAAGTGAAAGAAGGAAACACGTGGTGATTATGTAGTTTGTTGCCGGGGCGCAGTTGAAGGGACTTTGGCTTTAGCCGGACAGGCTGACTGCCAAAGCCGGGCCCGGGTGCGGTCAGAGCTGAGTACCCGGCCGGCCGACCCATAGGTCAGGGCGCGGTCAGGGCTGAGCACGCGGGCGGCCGACCCATACGAGGCCGCCGACCCATACACGAGCTGGAGCTGCGCCCGGTCGGCCACTTCAAAGCCGAAGGGTGAACGCGTCACGTGGACGGCTTAATTAGTGCACCAAATGACGATGCCCCAATTTGGAGGACTACTGTACAATACAGTTATCCAGAAAGCCGGGATAAATTTCCAGCCACCAATTTTTCAAATATATCCTATATAGACCGAGGAGTTTCTCCCTCCAAACAGACGTTAATTAGCCATGCTTCAGCTTGCACTTGATGTAATCAGCGCATATTGCTCTAGACAATTTATCATGTATCGACTCCCTCGGCTGTATTGTGCATTTTGACCTTTCTCAAAACACTTTGGCAATTTTTTACAAAAAAAAACCAGCATAAAAGTAGGTGCTCGAAAAACGCCCTCTATTATCCCCATCTGAAGTTAAGGTTCAGAGGTCGCTCACTGCCCACTGGTGGATGGCACGGTGTATTTGTGCAAGGGTACACATCTACCATATCCGACAACACATGATTTCGATACACTGATGCATTACATTCGTCCAGCGTGCTTGGCACGATAAAATTGTGTCATTATTCTGTTTTATGTGTTATCAAACGTGTCGAAGGTCCCGCCAAGCGTGAAAATACACAGCCTTATTGTGTTTTGGGTGCGATTAACACATGACTGATGTGTTACCAGTACAGAACATGCCCTCACTGTGTCGATTTGTTTTCAGTGTAAGTGCTAATGTAGGTTAAACCTAACGTCGATGCCGGGGTCTCCATATTCTGTCCTTGCACATTGCCAGCTCCTGCTGTTCTTAGAAAACTTCAAATTTTCGCATACCGTTGGCAACAGCATATGTGGGCTGCAAGCCACCGTCTAAAAGCAATGTAAGTTGTCGACAGCAGTGCAAAGAGCTGTGTTATTGCTCAGAGTTCGCGTCTTGACTCATGAACAAAGCGATATGGTATGTTGAGTGGCAGCTGGGTCCTGTTTCACGGGCGCTTTTGTATTGAACAACCATGATCGATCCACATTCTCAAAGTGCGTGGCGATTACTGCTCGCTAGCAGCCTACGTGTCAAATTGGGTGTCCATGGAGATATCAGCAAACTCGGACGATGTAGTCAGTCAGCCTGCCGGCAGCGTGGTAGCAGCAATCTTGGTAGC